GGCTTCTGGACGGCCGCTCACTGCAGCTGCTGGCCGCTCACGCTGGCTGCTGGCTACACACGGTAGCCCATGGCAATTCACTGCAGCAATGGCTGCAGCCTACGTCGTCGCAAGCGACTCACGGCAGCCCAGCTCCAGGTTGAGCTATTGTTCAGCATCTTAGCTGTACAGGGCAGTGTCACTCATATGTGGGATCCGAACTGGGGCCCTCTGGCGTCCCAAACCAATTCTTAACCAACACGCCACTCGGCCGGCCCATTATTATATTTTTAAAACAATGTTTGGAAAGAACCTTCATGGTAGCGGTGACAGGCAAGACCTTAAGGAGGCTGCAGGATTCAGGACTCTGCTTACCCAGACGGGGCTTCCCCAGAGTCAGACCCCTGCCTCCCCATGGCAACAAGAAAGAAATTGAGGTCATTTGAAGCCCATCATCCTCGGAGCCACTAGAGTGATGACAGCGTCCTCCTGCACGCCCAGCCTCCGGTGGCACAGCAGCAGATCTGAAAGCTCCCTGGGAACAGCCATCACAGCCAAAGTCGGGGAGGGGAGCCCAGATGCCAAATTCCTAACAAAAACACCATTTTCAGAACTCCCATGCACTTTCCGCATCATCTCCTTTGCACAGCAGCCACCAGCGGTGCCATTGTGCACCATTTTCCAAAGGAAGCTGAGGCTCAGAGAGGCTAAGAAGCCAGACCAACAGATGTTAAGATGCAAAGCTGGAATTTGAAATCAGGACTCTGGGTCTGGCCGTAGGACAATGCCCATGAGTCAGGAGGCTCAGCTTGGCCCCCCAACACTCCTCGGGACATGAAGGCCTGAAGTCCAGGCAGCCAGGCCTCACTGCTAGAACCTTAAGTGTTTGTGGGGTACCCTCCTCTCTACCTGATCCCCTACCTGGCCGCCCGTGCTCACCTGGACTGATGCTGACATCTGTATATGGAAAGACCTGTGTAGAGAGGAGGGTCGTCAGGGTGGCCACAGCCCACAGCCCCTACCTCTGCATCCTGGACCCTGAGAAAGCCACCTCCCAGTCTGAGTGGAGGAGAAAGGCCCTTCCCCGGATGAGAGCTTGGGTCTGGGGTGCTCTCCTGGGCGCAGGCGGGGACTGTCCAGAGCTCAGGAACCCCGTCTCCTCCTCCTCCTCCTTCCGTTCCCTCCCCCCTCCACTGGAGACAGCTCAGAGTGACAGCCTGAAAGCTACCCTGGGCCAGCCCCCTTCAGAGAGCTAAGAGGAGGCACAGCCCTTGGGCATGTGATGGCTTCTCTGAGACTCAGTTTCCTCCTCTGTAAGATGGGGTAATAATGGAGCTCACACCCCAGCCTGTCCAAGGATAGAAAGCATCTCGGCCCCACAGAAAAAACATAAACCAGAAGGTAAAAATACAAGTGCACAGGTCTCTTGGGCCAAAGCCAGCTCACCCACGGATGTGGGCTGTTTGCTCTGTGTCCCAAATGATCTGTGTTGATATGTGATGGCTGAAGGTTTTGCGAAATCGGTTCAAGCCCCTTCTCTGGATGGAAATACACAAGGTGTTTGTTACATGCTTAATCCCAAGTGTGGTCCAGGAGGGGCCAGGGGCACCCACATCTCCTGGGAGCGCATTAAAAATGCAGAATCTCAGGCCCAGCCCCAGACCTGCTGAACCTGAACCTGACTCACTTCCCAGGGGGGACTCATGTGCACACTAACATTTAGGAAGCATTGCTCTAGACAAGGGCTGGCATGTTTTTTCAAAAATTCAATTTTGAAATAAAAACTGTATATACTTAAGGTGTACGACATAATAAGTAGATATACATATTCACAGTGAAATGACACTATGGCCAAACTAATTAACATATCGTCTCGTCACGTGGTTGCCTTTCCTTTGCGATGCGAGTGCCTGAAAAATCCACTTGTAGCAAATTTCCAGTATTCGGTACAGTAGTAGCTATACAGCCATCATACTGCACATTAGATCCCCAGGACTTATTTAGCCTCAGTAACTGTAGCTTAAACTTCTTCTGTAAAGAGCCAGAGAGTAAGGATCTTAGGTTTTGCAGGCCACATGGTCTCTGTCACAACTACTCAACTCTGCCAGAGGCTACAGGGAAGGACCTGGTTGGGTTCCAATACAACTTTCTTCACAAAAACAAGCAGTGGGCGAGATTTGGTCCACTGGGGCATAGTTTGCCAACCCGCTTTAGACCTCAAATTTACTGACCAGAAAGTAGATCATGTCTTCGGTATATATTTTCTGGCTTCTTAAAGTGTATTTATCATGTCACGACATTACCCGCCCTCCCCACTCCACACACACACACACACACACACACACACACACACACACACACACACACTCACACACGTACTGTGCTCATGGTGGCCTGGGGATTCAGTGAAGATCTGTTTCTTTTTTCTTTTTATCTGTCTATCTATCTATCTATCTATGATCTCCTTTAATTTCTTAGCTTTTAAAAAATGTTGTTTATTTATCTATAAAACTAAGCCCCCTGCCCCTTTACCACCATTATAAAAAGGATAATAGAGGCTATTTCATTCCATGGCCTTCCATTCTGGAAGAGCTGTGTTCAAATTCCAGACCTGCTGCTGTGTGACCACATACTGATTTTTTTTTTTTTAGCTGGGCCATCCTGCCACCTGTTGGCAGCTCAGCAGCAGCTCAGCTCGGGCCAGGAATCGAACCGGCGACCCTGTTGCCCAGAGCTTGCACTCTTGAGCAAGCTCTTAACCAACTGAGCCACTCGGCTGGCCCTTCACATACTATTTAACCCTCCTCAAGCCTCAGTTTACTCATCTGCAAAATGGGAACAAATCAATACTTCCCTCACACAAGTGCTTAGAACACTGCCTGATACATCATAAGTGCTCAATACTTGTTAGTTACTCTTATTAGATCACCGTGGACCCTCGAAAATACTGTATAGGAAGGTATAAAGTTGGGCAATAAAACTCCTTCCCAAAGGATAACTCTGCCAACCTCCTGGGCAATGGCTTCCAGTCTTTCTTCTGGGCATACGTTTTTAGGTTTTACACAGCGGTGATCATTCCTGAGTGATTAAATGCCATTAAATGGTATTTTTGAACACGAAAAGGGGCAGGTAGCTCATCAGCAGCGGAAGAAAGGCCGCCCAGAAAGGAAAAGAATCCTTTCTGTGCCCTGCAGTGGCTCCCAGCTTTCTGGGAGTAAACTCTCAGAGCCCAAAAGAGCTGTTCCTGGCACCCTGGGGCCCATCATGTTGGAACAGGGCTGGGCAGAGATGGCAGCTTCTGATGGTCCAGGAAGGTAGACGGATCCTGACGGGTTCTGGATCCCAAGAGGTCAGGGAACTCAAGGATTGGTCCTGGGAAAACAGGCTTTGAAGCTTCACACCACAGCACCTACCCTACCTCCTTCCTTTGAACTCAGGTCCCCACGCCCCTCCCCCCAAGAGGGCAGCGTGTAGGTCATCTGTGCATTCCTTAGGAGGAGGATGCTAATTAAAAGGAGTGGGTAGCCCACAACAGGGCACCTTGGGCCCAGGTTGCTATAGAAACCAAGTCATTCCTTCACCCTTCTGCACATTTCCACCCCACCCCCCACCCCCGGTTTCCTGACAGACTTGATCCTTGGACATGTGGACAGCTCTGCCATCCAGCCTGCCGCTGGTGGACACGCCTGATGTGTGCCGAGCAGAAGCCGAGGGGTGCTGCGTGCCGACTTTGCAGGCACCCTCCCGGCTAGTCCTCATCGACCGACCGTATGGGGTAAGAAGTGTCACCCTCCTGCAGATGAGGCGGCCAGCCCAGCAGGACCGTGAGCCACACAGCGCTGGTTGCATTTCCTAGGGCTGCTGTCACCAAGTACCACAGACTGGGCAGCTCACACAGAAATCTGTCTCCCAGTTCTGGAGGCCAGAAGTCCAAGACCAAGGCGTGGGTGGGGCTGGTTCCTTCTGAGGGCTGTGAGGGAAGGACCTGTCCAGACTTCTCTCCTTGGCTTGTAGATGGCCACCTTCTGCACCTCTTCACACCATCTCCCCCCTGTATGTGTGTCTGCTCCTGTGTCCTAACTTCCCCTTTTTATAAGGACATCAGCCATATTAGGTTAGGAGCCATCCCAATGACCTCACTTCAACTTGATGACCTCTGTATAAAGACCCCATCTCCAAAGAAGGTCACGTTTTCAAGTCCTGGAGGTTAGGACACCAACGTCTATTTATTTTGTGGGGATGGGGGGGACACACAATTCAGCCCACATCAGGCTTCAGAGTCAGGCGGGCCTGGGCTGGCATTCCGGCTCTATCGCTCACTCGCCACTATCTCACTAAACCTTGGCTTCCTCCTTTGTTAAAAGGGGAACCACCCCTCCCACGTGGGCAGCTGCGTGAGATGTCTGGCACTTTACCGGGTGCTCCATCAGCCCTCTTGTTATTAATGAGGGCAGCAGATGCCAGGCACGCCTTACCTCAGAGCCCCTGGTGACCTGAGCTCCCCTGGGGCTGCAGTGGGCCAGACCACGAGCAGACCCTTACCTGAAGGAGCACACGCCCTCCCTCATTCTCTGCCCGGGAGATTCCTGGTGCTGTGGGAGCCCACTCGGCCCACACGGGAGTCCTGAGTGCCAAACATGTAATGCCTCCAGAGGCAGCCCTCAGGGCCTGAGGGATCAGAGCCAGCAGTTCACTACTCCAGCTTCTCCATAATGATAATTCTCACGTGTATCCCACGTGGGTCCCGGGGTGGTAGTGCCTCAGCAGCCCACAATGGCCGTTAATATAGTCTTAATCTACTTTTCTCCTTGCCCTGACTTACTCTTCCATTTATGCTTCCTGGGGTCACCTCCCAAAAAAGCTATCTGCAGTTAGGTCTTTGCCTCAAGGTCTGCGTTTCAGGTAACGTGGGGACCGAGGCTCAGAGAAGTTATTTGCCTTGTACAAAGGGCACATGAGGGTGTGGTGGGCCTGGACTTTGGACCACAGTCTTCGGCTCCGAGGACCAGGGTCCCAATCCCTGAGTTCCCACATCTCATCCTGAATGCCTGCTATGTCCATCCCTCATCCTGCCCGTCCTCGCACGCTTTTATCCTCTTCTGTACAACCACGGTAAGGAAGCCATGTTATAGAGAAACATTACCTTACTGAGACCTCCTTTCTGCCCCCCTTGACCTCCATGCCACCTCCGCTCCAGGTGGGACATACCAGAGGGCCCCAGGAGCAGACCCTGCAATGCCCAATGCGGCTAGGAGGGGTGGAGCCATCTCAGCCCAGGGGCATTTCCCTGGGTCAAGTCCTGAGCCGGGCATGGCCAATATAAAACTAAATAGCTGTGGATCCTGCCCTGAACAACTGGACAGTTTTATAGAAAGGGGCCTCAGTTTGCTCACCTGGAAAATGGGGGTTACAACGACCACATCAAGATTAAACAAGACTGTGCACATACTGGGCCTAGCACTCACACAGTCAGGTTCTGCTAAATGGTGGCTGTTATTAACAAGAGTTAAATAGAAACATAAGCTTCTTGCTGTGGGGAGGCCAGGAAGGAGCTGTTATCTGTCTTAGGAAATCAGGAAGTGGCAAATTTAAGGCAGGTCTTGATGATCAGTATGAGTTGCGACTCTTAAGCTGCTGGGAGCCATGTTGTTCATTGAATGCAGAGCAGCCTGGCCAGGATACAAAAATAGCCCTGACGGCCTCGTCTGAGCCTAACATAAATCCATCTTCTCTTGGTTTGGGTTCTCTTATCAGTCATCAGATTAATATACGGTAGTGTTTCAACTGTTCTTCCTTTCAAGACCACATTCTGAAGTCACCACAATGTCCAGCATGAATGGCTGTCTGGTTCAACCTGCCGCGGCCCTAGAGTCTTCCTGCCGAGGTCCTAGGTACCAGGGAGCAGAGACGAGCCCTCCCTGCTGTGTCTGGTCTCAATTCTCGACCCACAAAAGCCGTGAGCATAACACATACAGGTGCTTTGAGCCCTGAGGATGGTTCGGGACGCAGCAGCAGTAGCCGAAACACCCTCCCACCTTCTATGCCCCGGTATTCATGAAGAAAAAGAGAACTCGAATGAATGCATGGCACAAATAAATAATCTTTAATTTCAATAAATAGCTCCCCAGGATACCAGACAATATACTGTGGGAAGAGACACAGAAGCATCGCACAGAGAGAGGTCTATTCTAACTACACTAATTCCTTAGCGTGAGAGAAATGACTCTGCTTCACACACAGATACAGGGAGGTGCTCAGAGCATGACAAGGAGGCCATCTTAATCCATGTCCCTGCCCTTTGCAGGTCTTCCGCGAGTCAGAATCACCATGATTTGGTCGAAAATGTTGCTTTTGCTCTATCATATCCTATTTTCTTGACATATACACACGCTACTGTTATTGAAGGTGGGGTCTTGACAGACAGGACAACACTGGGTGAAATTTCACTGATGGGAGACGCAGAGAGAAGGGAGTGGTCAGGATTGAGGTCCTGGCCCACTGCCTGGCTCGCCAAGAGGACACACACACACATACGTTCACCTGTGAGGGCACACGCACGAGAACATCCACATACATGCCCACAGGGAGTCCCCGGGAATAAGCTAACACAAGGACAAGTTCAGATCAGCCGGGAGCGGTTTCTTATACTGGGGTATATTTTTGTTGTTGCATTTGGTTGCCCAAATAGTCTAAACTACTTATCACGTCCACGAAAGAGAAGACAAAGTACTTACACTTTGGGGGAAAGGTATCAGGTTCAAAGAACCCCAGGGAACAGCAGCCTGTTCCAAAGTCACCCAGCGGGTGTGCATTTGGGCCAAAAGTCTTGGAAAATGTCATCTCGATGGAGGCTGGCACCCTTTGGGAGGCCCTCTTTCTGGCCTGAAGGTTGAAAGTGCATTTTGGGGCCGGGGTATCGACAAGAGCAAGCACTGCCAGTAAGTCTCACAACAGAGCCCCTCAGCTCACGGCATATGCACGGGGCTTCCGGAAACTTCTCAGGCCTCGCTCATGGAGGGCAGCCATTTCGTGATCAACAGGCAGCTTCCTCTCGGCTCTGAGAGGATCTGGTGTGTGAGTGTGTGTGTGGAGAGCATGTGAGATGGGTGTGGATGTAACAGGTGACACATTTTTTGTCTTCAGTTTTCTTCCTTTTTTTTACAAACGACAGCTGCCTTCCCTGCAGCTCTCAGGTCACCTCCAGCGAGGCAGGGGACACGCGGTCACACTCGGCCCGCGACCTCAGGCTGTGCCACTGCTCCACGGCCGTGCGGTGGGTGTTGAGCATCCGTCGCCAGTGGTTGGATTCGGAGGGGCCTGAAGAGTACTGGCCAATGACAATCCTTCCGATGAAGTCATTGCTGCTCTTCATGTTGTGACCGAACACTAGGGAGTCACAGGAGCGAGGGTGGGGTGGGGGTGGGGAGGACGAGGCAAGAGGAAGGAGGGGAACAGGAGGCAGGAACAAGACAGAGGCCGTTAGTTTACACATTCCTCACCTGCAGGCACACGGTCCTCGCTTTCAGGACACTGTCTGTTTCTTTGAATGTGTCTGATTCCCTCATCTCATCCTCCCAGGAGTCTCTCTGCTCCTGTGGCACCGGGTTCCTGCTGTCCCTCACCAGGCCAGGCATGTTCCCGCCTCCCAGCCTTTCCATTGGCTGTTCCTTCTGACGGACAGGTGCCCTCCCTGCAATATGCAGCTGGAACCTTATGTCCCGTTGCCTCACCATGCTGCCTACAGAGCTCAGTAATTGGATAGTCCTAGTGGAAGAGCCAGCCCGTCACTGGAGTCCAGGTGAGTGGTTACACTAGGGTTTCTCCGTCACGACACTGTTGGCATCTGGGGCTGGCCTGTGCATTGCAGGAGGCTTAGCAAAACCTCAGGCTTCTACAGGCTAAAGCCAGTAGCACCTCTCCCTCCAGCTGTCACAACCCAAAATGCCTCCAGGCATGGGCAAATATCCCTGGGGGTGAGGGGTGGGCCAAGTCATTCCAGATGAGAACCACTAGATTAAGCTGTGGGCCACGGGGCCAGACATCCTAGGTGAATCCTGGCTCTGTCATCTGACTAGCTCTGGGATGCTGAGGCAAGAGAAGGCACCAGCAGCCATTCTGAACTCAGGCAGTTCCGTAGGAATCTTAACAGTACTTGACCCCACAAGTCGTTGTGAGGTTTCGAAGAGATAACGTGTGTCAGCCTGTCAGCACAGCGCCGAGCACACAGTCAGTACTCCACTCATGTTATACTGCTATTTCGATCCTAAATTTCCACTCGTGTTACACTGCTGTTTCGATCCTAAATTTTCAGCCCGTTGACCTTTTTAAAAAGAGATGTCCTGTTTCCTCTGTTCCAGGCAACGGAGGCACGTTTCCTGAGAGAAACGGCTATGGCAACTTCTTCTACCCCTCGTTGTACTGCACGTCTCTTTGGAAGGCTTCTCTGTTCATTCCAGTACAAGCTTAATTTGTGTCTTTCAAGCCTAATGAGACGGTTAGTTTGATTCATCTTCCCAGCCAAGTTCCGCCTAATTCTTTATCTGCGTGTGGGTAATGCGGGCGGGCCATCTCGCCACCGGCAAAGCAGGCTGCGTCTGTGTTATAAATGAAGGGCTACAGGATGGGAAATATCACTGATTCCCCCAGTGTGAGCTGAGCAAAGGCAGCTGGATCCCGGGAGGGAGGCCGCAAGGCCGATTATCAAATACAGCTTGAATGCTAATGAGCCTCGGTTCTCCCCTGTGGGGTTCACATCATGAATTCCAAATGATAAAAATGGGGTGGGGAGAAAGAAAAGATGAAAAACAAAACCAAAAACCCCATCCACTGTCTAAAAACCCAAAACACCTAGAGTAAACTAGGCTACGCCATCTCCGTACCTGCCAGCTCCGCGGACAAAAATTGGACCATGTATATTTTTTGTACATGCAGTAAAGTGCCCAGTATGCATAGGTGGACCTCACTGACATGAGAATCCCTTACAGAGGGAAAAATGAGGAACGGAATCTTTGCTTAATAAAGGAAACTGCTAAGGATAGATACAAGGATAGTTCCTGTGGGGTGAGGGAGGGGGTGGTGGGAACCAGAGCCCCCAAGCCAAATCTGGCCTGCCACCTCTTTTGTGTTAAGTTTTATCAGAACCTAGTCAAACCCACTTGTTGACGTAACGTCCACGGCAGCCATTCCATTACCGCAGCAGAGCTGGGTTTTAACAGAGACCGCGGGGCCCACCAAGCTGGATGTATTTACTACCTGGCCTTTTGGCCTTTTCCGGAAATGTTTGCTGATCCCTGCTCTAGAGTATTGTTTGTAAGGATGAAAAATGGAAATAGCAAGAATGTCCATGTGGAAGGTGTGACTGAGGTCGTCTGGTCCCCTGCCCAGGCCCTCAGCCCGCCCTGCAGGCTGCCCGCTGCTTCTGTGGTTGGGGTCTGAACACAAGCACCCATGGCTCTCTGCACGGGTCACAACCATCTCTATGCCAACAGTGTGATTTATGGGCAGGGCCTTGGGCCCCTCAATATCAACTTGACCGCTGAAGGGACAGGAGACTATGGCCAGCCACTTGGACGGTCAGACGTGCCTATGTGGCTAACCCCCACTCAATATACTGGACGCCAAGGCTTGAGTGAGCTTCCAGCTGGCATCACTCTGAGCCTAATGCCTGACACCTAGGGCGCTGTCCCTAGGACCCCAGTGGCCCTGTCCCTATAACACCTGCTCTGTCCTGGACTCTGCCCTGGGCATCACTCCCCTTTGCTGAGTTCGGTCTGTATCCTTTCACTGTAATAAACTATAACCATGAGTGTAGCAGCTCCTCTGAGCTCTGCGAGTTCTAGTGAACCCCTGAACCTGAGCTGCAGATACCCAGTCATCAAATGCCCCTGACTGGCCTGTCTCCCTTTCCTCTCTCATACCCCCAGTCTCTTATCAGAGCTTCCTGGGATCACCTTCCGAGCAGCCTGCATGCACCCAAATCCCTGTTTTAGGATTAGATTTGGGAGGCACCCAGACTAAGGCTGGAGGGGACTAATTTAGATAATTTCCGATGTAACAATACCATGGAAACCAATGTTGTTAAAAATGAGACAGACCTATATATACCGACAGAAAAGTCTCCAAGACTATTGCTAGGAGACAAAAGCAAGTTGCAAAACAGTCTATGTAAACAACCTCTTTTTGTTTAAAAAAAATATTAATATATAGAATAGAAAACAATATCTGGAGGGGTGTTCACCAAACTGTTGAGAGTGGCTCTCCCTAGGGAGGGTTGACAGAGGGAACTTTCTGCTTTTTGTGTTGTGTAACTATGTACCGTCTAAGCTTCTTACAAGTCATATTATTTTGGAAAGAAAACAAAGGAAAAAAATAAGTTGCTATTAGAGAAGCCACATCTAAATCGCCAGAAGGGAAAGCAGGCTAAAGGAAGTCTCAGAGCCTATGCTCTTTCTCCCAGTCTGCAAAGTAACTTGGCTTTCGTGAATCACTGGGCCCTTGAAAGGTGGGAGCTCTCGAGTGATTCAGGCTTTCTGACGAGAAGCAGGGGCTGCAGTGGCCATCTGAGCTAACTGGCACCTTGCGGATCACTCTGTCAAGTTATGGCAATCAAAACAGTTTTTTCAAAACCACACATGTAAAACGCAAATGATAATAAGCTGAAGCTGAATAAAACCGACGATTTCTATTACAAAAGTTGCCTGGGAGGATATCAGGATCTGCCATCACTGTAGACCCTAGGGAGTGTGTTGTCGGAGAATAGGGAATGAAGACTGGACTCGGGCAGAACACAGAAAGGGGCTCAGAGACAGTGGGCCAGGTACCCCTGCCTCTTCCACGTGACAGATCGGGAAACCCAGTAACTGAGCCAGCTGGTGATAAAATTCACAGGATTTGCAGCAAATAACCTTCAAAGGAAGCAGGTTTCTCATGACTAGATCCCCACATGCCTCCTCTGTAGAAACAATCGCATCTAAAATTTCAGCTGGAAGGCACCCCAAATAGCCCCACTGGCTCACTGTATTGCAGTCACTAGTACGTTACGAGCAGTGCATGTGCTCCAGTGTACCCCAGGCATCCGGAAGCAACCTTCCAACACCCTGTACAATCCAGAAGAGTGGCAGCAAGGCGTCTGAACAGAACAGATGTCACCAAGTCCGTGCACAAAACCCAAGGAGAGGGCTTCTCACGCTTTCTCTAAGAACCTATGTCCTATTCATGGATTCAGACGTACTTCGAATAAACCTGGGCCTCTGATTTCCCCAACTGCAGTCATTTGAATTAGTTTAGTGGATTGTAGCTGCCAGACAGATACTAGAACTTAATGAAGCACATTAGAAGGGGTCATTGGGTGAAGGGCGAGCAACCCTTCACTCCTTCATGGAGCCCAGGGACATTCACTGAGATTGGGCTCTGAAGAAGCACGGAGAGTAACACTGCTTTATTAAGCACCTACTGTGTACAGCCCAGGGCAAAGCCATCATCTTCCCATCAGCCCTCTGGAGTGGGGTTCCTCATCCTCGACACTCCTGATGTTTTGGGCCAGACATTTCGGGTTGTTGGGGCTGTTCTGAACACTGGAGGATGTTTAGCAGCCCCTCTGGTCTCTCCCCAGCTGTGACAACCAAAAGTATGTCCAGACATTGCCCAACATCCCCTGGGGGTATAACCTCCCCCACTGCTCTAAGGAAGTTGCTATCACTGGCCCATTTTGCAGGTGGGGAGACTGAGGCCCTCAGAGGCAGAGGAAGATCATGCTCCGCCCCAGTCAAACTCCAGCTGCCCTGAGTGAGTCAGGGGCAAGTTGAGTCTTTCACATGTTGATATTTTCTGTAAAGCTGAATTTGTTCTTCCCAGCAAGCGCTAAAGTCTTTTGCTTGCTAATTTAGTTTGCCAAGATGGTTCTGGAAGAGAACCTGGATGTCTTAGGGTGTGGGTGTGATAAACACTGCAAATTAAAGGGAACAAAAATCTCGCTTTACCAACCACAGCACTCACCAAACGCCCATTTGACACATTTGGTTCACAAGGTGAAGCCCCCATAGCAGCTCCAGCCTGACAGCACGGTGCAGGGGTGCCCCGAGATCACAGCTGGAACCCGCCTTAGCACTGCCTCCCATAACCCACCTCTTGGGTGCGGGGTTGAGCTGCTCCCATATCTGAAAAGGTGCTCTAAGCCAACAAAACCCATCCCGGGCTGTTTCGTGGTCCTCCCTAACTCCTCACTTCAGAGGGACCCCCACACTTCATCAGGATGTTCATGAGTCATCCATCTCAACCCTTGGAGGCGCCCCAAAGGAACCGACACATCCCTGTTTCCTCCGCCCCCCAAGTTGGCTCTGACACACCCCAGTAAAGGTGGTACCCGTTCTTTTTCAACTTTTGCAAAC